CGTAATTGTCTCTAGATAAGCCTACACTTTCGGAAGAGAGGTATACTCTGGTTTGAATCGGTTGGGAAAAGCATCAAAGGAAGAGAATTGCACACACTGACCTGCCTGATACAGGAGAAAAGGTCACTCTTATTTAATCCAAGCACTAACACAATGCCACGATATGCGGTTTCTGGAGCAGAGAACTGACAAGCTTGCCGAATGGCCTGGCCAAGAGCCCAAAAGTCTGATAGCAAACGCAGCACGTGTGTAGACTGTTCAGTGGTTTATAGTCTGTTTATTTCTGCTATGACTTTTATTTTTGATTAAGTCCTATTTAAGCTTCTGAAATCCAGGTTCACTGGCAAATGCTGCTGTTGTCCCTGAGAAAACGAAATGGCAGGTGCCACACATCCCCACAGCAATCGCAGTAAAGCCCCTCTCTGGAGGCAGGCATCACTCCCAGAAGGTGATGGGAGGGTTGACCTTTCAAGATGTGCTCCTCAGAAGGCCAAAAAAAGGGAGAGGGATGGAAAGGCAGCTGGGCTGAGGCAGCCTATGCCAACCCTCTGTGGGACAGCATTTGTCCATCAGTACTCTGCTGTAAGAGGTGGAGTGTCTTGGCTTCCCTTGCCCTCGCTGGGAAAAAATCTCTTCAAAGCCACCTGCAGTTCTGCAATCAGCATGCTGTTAACGTGCTCAAATGTTGCTCCCTCTTAGCTGTGCAGACTTTCTAAACTCCACACAAAGCACCAATTTGACTTTCTAAACTGCAATAAAATGCTAGATTTGAAATATGCAAATCCAGAGTTATCTTTCCCCTCAATGGTATGCTATCAGCAAACACAGTTGACTAAAAAGAAGACAACTCACCATTCCCTTGAGCTGGATGCATTTAAGTACCACACATATTTGTGAGATTTTTTAACTACTTTATGAGAAAATAACAAGGCAAGCAGAGGAGATGGAAGGAAAAGCCTAAAACTAATAATTGTTCAGCTGTCAACCTGGGGTCTACCATTACTGACTTTCCCTGCAGAAACTTAAAAATCATCGCTTTTCAGTATCAGATTAAAAAAAACCTCTGGAAACTGTTGCCAGAAGGTATTTTTAGCATCAGAGGCACCACCCTGGGATCTGCATGGGCAATTCTTTGTCAAGTGAATGGTCCCAGTAAAATAAATGGGACAATATTCATAAAGAAGTGCTGCATAACTGGACTCCTCTTCTTCCGACTGCTAAAAAGACATGATTAATACTAGGGTATTTATCTCAGAAGGTATGTTTAGTTTGCTTTACCATCTAGCTTGATTTCCTAAACAAAAATTTCTAAATCCATTTTTGATACTGCAAATTCAACAATTTTGCTCATGACTATCTTCGATGGAATTAAGTAGAAACAGACATATTACATCAATAGGGCGACATATATAACGTAGCATTTACGTGTAAAAGCATCTGCAGGATTTGGTTGCAAAACAATGGATTGAGAGTGGTCAACTGATCAGCTAAAACTGGTTGATACAGTCCTCAAATCCCACTGCAAGAAAATTTTAATATACTTTAGAAATATTTGAGATAATTTAGGATAACGATTTTATGGAAATCTCACAAATTTGTGTAAATAAAGTTCACAAGATGGACAGTGGTCATAATACAGAAAAAAAAAAAAGTCATTTAACAGTAGGGAGCTGGGCTATATACAATACAATAACGACAACAGAAAGGCTCTAATTATGCAAAAGTGTGAGTACTGTACAGTGTACTGTAGAGTTTGGGGAAACCTGGAGGCCCCAGGAGCAAATCTTTAGTTACACAGATGCTAATCACACTGATAGGAAGCTGAATCAAACATTTAATAAAATTATAGCTTCACTAAGTTTGAATTTAGAATGCCTGCAGAAGAATAGAGTTTGCCAGGTTTTTTTCCTGTATGGTTTGCTTGGTACGTAGCTGTCATTTTAGGCACTGGAATGGCTTGATTATTTTTTTTCTCTCACTTGCACAATATAAGAAAAACAAAAACCAAAGTGTAAATGGAGTTAGAAAGATCAAACAAAAAGCCTGTTCCCCAGCTGAGGGTGGGCCCAAAGAGCTATTAAAGCTTGGCTCAGGAGTGCTCTCCTGCATCATTTTCAGCAGAGCGGGCTGTGGGTATGGTGTTTTGCATCTTTTGCAAGAACATGAGCAAATGAAAGGAAAAAAAAAAAAAAAAAAGAAAAGTTTCTTAAACTTTGTTGTATGAATTTCCCTAAAGAGAGCACTTATATTGACTAAAAATACAGTGTAAAATGCAATGCTACATATCAGCATCACAACCACACTAGCTGTCTGAGTTACGGACCAGCATTGGCTTGTGCTACGTTCTCTTAAGCACCTCCTTCCTGTAGCCCTCTGTAACCAGCAGCTATGGGACCTGGCTGTCCCCAGAGACTCACCCTTGGAGATACACCTCGAGCCTTGATGGGAACTGAATATTTTGAGAAGGAAGGCAGTGAACGTAGCTTTTGCATTTCCCAGAATTTATGCCAGTGAGGTCAGTTTGCTACTAGTTTACAATACAACATTTCTAAGAGATGTGCTAATGCCTCCTGAAATGTAAATGTACTTTTGATCTATTCCACACTATAAACCCACAGTTAAATTTATGAAGTGGCAATAATCAGAGGGGTTTTTCAGTCTTAATGTAAGTGAATTCCCTCATGCCTAGGAATAAACAAGCACGTGGTTCCATACCAACACCAGCTTTGCTATGAGCCCAGGCAGCAGGGAACTGTCCTGCATCTGCTCCCTGTGATATGCTTCTGTTACGACACCTCTTCAAGCCCATTGCACAGCACAGCCAGTGGGACAGGCGTTCTGGGTAGCACCCTGGGACAGCCAGAGGGTATGGCCATTCCTCTGGGGCAAAGAAAACACTGGGAAGGCCATGCAATGGGAAGACAGTCATCCAAAAGTGCATCCTCCCAATAAAGGGAATTTATTTAGACCCTATCACCCACAATTTAAGCCTGTCAACAGCACTAGCTATGCAGAGGGAAGGGCTTCATGTACCAAAAAGTGCTAATGAGCCATTTGGACTACCAGCTGAATTCTTCATTAGCTGTATTTCCATTTGGGAACTCTTTAAGATGATTCAAATCTACTTCACTGGCTTTTTATTTCTTGTTTTCATGTTCCACTTAACAAACTGCACCTGTCTTGCAATCCCTACAGGTAGCCCTGATGCCAGTAATGTTACTCTGGCAGCTGAGGTTTTAGGTTCTTAACCTACTTAAAAAGAATTCATTATTAATATTTGGGAAAAAATATCACAGAGACATTTCCTGGTAGGTTACATGTAAGTGCTGCCATGAACTATGAGCATCACTAAGGCATTTTAATTTTACTAGGTAACCGGTCAGTTGTTGGGACTCACATCTCAATGAATATTTAATTAATTTCTAGAAACAGACAGTTCTGGAAACTTTACTGATGCCTGTCACAGAAGACATCACAATTTCTGAAAGGTGATCTTTGAAAACATACCTGTTCCAAAATGGTGTTGATTCTGTCTACTTCACAGTCAATTAAGTATCTTTTTTCTTGCCGCCTGTCCATCTCCTCTATAATTCTTCTGAACTCTTGAACATCCTTTATGCTTCCTACAGATCTGGCTGTCACTTGCCAGTTGTTCTGTACTGCTGCTTCCATAATCGCCTGAAGAATGGAAAATCCTGTAAGGGGAAGAGACAGTGCAACCATTTAGAAACAGAGCAAAAATAAAAGCTATTTTGAATGTTTGACAAGGGGCGCACAAAAACTTGCATCACCTAAAGGGACACAGGCTAGCTAATAGCCTGCAAGTGCTTCATTACTTGAGAAAGCAACAGTGTAGGGACCAGTTTCTCCTTTCAGCTATCCCACTGCTAAAGCCACTGACTTCAGCAGAACTGCCTGGCGGTATATTACCGGGAGGTGTACCAGAATCTGTCCCATATATCATATTATGATCCTCTCAGGGATGTTTATGGTCCTGCTGGGGTCCATGCCAGCTGAGAATAGGAGCCTGCAGCCATCACTTGGGCAAAAGTCCATCAGCTTGAAGAGCCGGACAGAAGAGGTAATTTGCCTGTGCAGACTGCAGCAATGGGTCATTAACTGGCAAAGCTCCAAGCACTGCACAAGACTGCCAATTAAGTCATTGTACTGGTTATTGGCGGCACGAACCACAGGAGAATATTTTACTGATACTCACTTTGATTCCACAAAATGTTTTTAAATATGGAGTCTAGCAGCATTAACCACACTTTCAATGCTTTCATTAAGGTAATACTAACTCACTGAGCAGCCTCAACGGAGGAGAGAAGCAGCACAGAATGACCAAAGACTGCACAGTGGGAAATGACACAAGCAAACAGCATTTAATTTCTTGTGAATAGCCGTGCCTCAGCGGCAAACAGAACTCAAATCAAGTCCCTAAGTGAAAGGTGGTGGAACTGGGAATAGTAATCTCCTTCAAGTCATGCTATGTAGGAGTCATCAGACATTGATTTGCATCCCTTTATTACAGTATGTAGCTGAGAATTTTCCCGTTTTGATTCAGGAAATTAATTTTTTTGAATAGTTCTAATTGTTTCAAATCTGGGTGGATGCCAAAGACAGAGGTCATCTACTTTAAGGATACCCAGTGGTTTCCAGTGGAGTTTCTTTGTACAGAAGCATCCACGTGAGCTGTGTTTCTGTCCAGACAATTTATTTGCAAAACTTTCAGTCCAATCATTCAGTCATACTGTATATTTCTTATTCATAGCCAGATCCAAGAAGCTCAGAATGTCTCTACATACACAAACACATTAACATACAGGATCGACATCGAATTAATTGTGCTCTGTGATAACCAGCCCCCTACGCTTCAGAAACTGAAAGGAGTTTGAGCTAGAGGAACATGTTCACTGCTTCGAATTATACCAATAGTTATTCTGCACTCAGGTATCATTGCAGGGGTATACCGACAACAAAGAACTTGTGCTGCAGTCTGATCTTCCGTAGCCTGCTGTGAATCTGTAGTGGCTGTCTGAAGCCAGAGGAGCTGCATCATTACCTCATTAGAGACACAAACGAGGAAA